TAGAGCCGACTTGCCTTCCCTGTTCTTACTCATACCTCTAAACATTTACCTCCTCCCCTATTACAAAGTCAACTAGAATAGGAAAAACAGTTAATATCCTTTGCTAGTGAGCTGGTGAGCGGGATAAGCTGGCAAAGGTACTTGATTCATTGAACCCACACGGTGGAATCAGCTCCTGTAAGTTGTCTTCTGACCTCCAGATGGGTATACACATGCTTGAGCACACATACATGCACACAAGCACACACACAAACTTAAGCACACGCATAAATAAGAGGCGAGGAATAAAAAGCTTTTGCTAGTGTACAGTTATAACGGGACATTTAGAAACCTCACTCCTAGCAGGGTGAGGCTCCAGACAAGGTACTCAGCAACGCTCAACACTGACCCTTCGAATCCACATCAGACACGTGTTAAGCTAGCAAGATCCACAAACCAAACAGGCTCACTAGACAGTCCAACCCATCAGGGTGATTCCCAGTCAACCTGCATGCTTGATCACCTCAAGCTCTTACCATTCTGGGCTCCCCAAGTCCTTTGGCCAGGCCATCCAGTTATCTTTTATGCTGATCGGCTTCTAAAACTCTGGCTCCTCTGCAGGGCCCTCGTGAGCTTTGCTGCTGTTGTACAGCAGAGCCTCAGCACTTCGCTCCATATTCATCCAACTGACTTGCTCAGTCACTATAGAAAATGAGAGCACAGGGGGCAGGGGGATAGTCAGGGTTAAGTGTGGGGCTCTGGTTCTCCTAGTATGAATTTACCTTTAAAGAATTTACCTTTAATTTTTAGTCAACATAAGGGCTCTTTCTTAGCTTTTTCAAATGGGGATAATTTTTTTTTTAATACCCCAGAGGATATTTGGACAAAACATGAGAGCATTTATATTATTACAACCAAAGGGATGTTACTTGCATCCAGCAGGCACAGGTCAGGGAAGCCATATCCTATCTTGCCATACACAGGACAGTCACCACAGCAAAAAAGACTACCCAGTCCAAGCCACCAGCGCACAGGCTGAGAAGCCATAGTGCAGGCAGGGGCTGCTTCCACCTCTCCATCTGCTACCTTCCTTTTTCTCTCTTCAACTGTCCTCACCAGATATATCCCTCCACTGGAGAAATTTTATCTGATTCAGTAATCTCAAATCCTAGGAAGGTTGATTTGCCAATTTAAATTTTTGCTTTCTACTCTTCTCTTAAACGTCAGACCTTTCCTTCCCAGAAATAGGTTGTAAAAATCTCCCAAAACCGTCCATCTTCCTTTCAAATCGCCATGTCTGAAATAAAAAACTCTACCTCCACACCGGCCCCATCCCTGACTTCTCTGTGCAATTCCTAGTGTCCACAACCAGGTCCTAGTCTTTGGCTCTTCCGCTTTTTGTAACCTGTCTAACACAGCTCCCAGGAGGCCTCTGGAACCCATCTTAAGTCTTCTTTTTTTTTTTTTTTTTTGGGTGTCTGGGTCTCTCCTTTAGGGGCTTCCGCAGCTGCAGCTTCATTGTGAACAACCCTTTCTTTGTTCCCTCTATCGGAACCACCCTCCATATTGGTTCTGCCTTTTCTAAAAACTGGACGCAAATCTTCATCCGCAAAGGGGGAAGAAAAACACACCTTTCACCATCTAATCCATTTCCTCTTCTTCACTTCCTGCCAAAATAGCCCGGATGCTCCATGGACTCCTCAGAAAGCACATCCATTTTCCCCCCTTCTTCCCACTGCTTCCACAGAAGCAAAGGTGTCCGATCGTTAACGCGGCCAGGCCCTACTCTTCCTTTTGTGGGCCTCTTTGTTCCAGCTAGGTGAAGGTGTGCCCGCCCTGCCCCGCCCCTTCTATTCATAGTCAAGACATCTTTCTATGGAGACCCATTCGAGGCGCCATTTTCTCCATCCGGTCTTTGCAACCTCTCCTATTGGAGGCCTTTTTTTCCCCATTTCCATGCCATTCTGCTCTTTCGCAAGGAGACTGGCATGCTCTGGATGTTTCTCCCTGCCAGAGAAGCAGGATATAAGAAAGAACGTGGAACAAAGGATTCCCACAGATGCTAGAATGTCTGAACAAAGAGAACCTGAGCCCATTTTTTTTGATGAATGGTGCTTTGGGGATGGGTGTGCGAGGCCTGGAGAGCCCAGGAATCCGCGTGGCGGTCTTCTTGGGTTTCCAACCTCGGCGTCTACTGACCTTCCACCTTGTGCAGGGTTCAGCATCCCTGGGAAATGAACTCTGTCCATCTTGTACTGCTCGTCTGCATCGGAGCAGTAAGCTCTCTCTCCATGGGCCTGGCTCACCACCTCCAGGCCCTAGAAAAGCCTCTCTCCGCGGTGTTTCAGCGGTGGCCTTCTCTGTGAAGGGGGTTAGCCTACCGCCATCATGAACCCAAGGGATGGTTCATGGGAACCCCCGACTTTCCCACCTGGCCTTGGCGATTTGGGGCATCAAAAAGATTGACCCCCCAAGGCACACGCGGCTTACCGTGGCCTTCTAGGCCTGGCCGCCATACACCCGCCCGCCAACCGCTTCCCACCGACCCAGAAAGCACAACCTCTTTGGGCGTTCCAACGCGGCGCCCCCTAATGGACCTCCCACCCATATCCGGTTTCCGGTCTGAAGCCCCCTGCTCATTCGCCAGGCATCCTTGATTGGCGTGACCCCAGCCCAATAGCTGACCTGAAGCTGGGGTCGGAGGGGAGTGGGTTGGTAGTTGAGACCCAGTTGGACCATTCAGTATGTGTTCAAATTGTTTTCGCCATTTTGCGTGGGGGTAGTTGGCCAAACTTTGGACCAAAGTTCAAAGTGTCCGGCATGAAGCGCGTCGCGCCGTAGAGCTGAGGTGACACGCCTTCGGGAGGTCCCAGGCGTTCGCTAGGGGTCCGCTTTGTGTGCTTTCTTTTACTCTGGGCGACCACGTGGACGCTGCAGGCCAGGGGGCTGCCGTGTGCTGAGCCTGCAGTGGGAGAGGGACATGTTAGACTTCAGAAAATCAGTGCTTGCCGCGGTACACACGCGTGTGTCTTTCAATACAGCCATCTGCTTGGTGCATGATTGCCGCAGCCGACCCCGTATGCCTCCACCTTCTCTCCCCTCAGGGTCCTGCAGGCCAGACAACCACCTGCCTCACTGCCTAGCTGCACTGCAGCCAAAGACAATGCCTCGCGGCCGTCGCCGTCACCTGCGGACAAAATGACAGCAGTGTGAGTGCGCGTGCCCGCGTGCCGCGGTTCTAGGCTCTGAAAGCGGCAAAGGAAACAAAACAGAAACCCCAGAAAAACTAAAAGCCCGTAATGCCCCTGCGTAGCCCAGACCTAGGGTATTTTGTGATACATTTCCGGAGCCCACTGGGCAATGCGGCTGTTTATCTCCTGCAGCCCTGAGCCCCCCGCGGCTCCGCAAGGGGCGCCCAGCCTGGCTCCCGGCCGCGGGCTTTGTGGCCGCGCTGAAGGCCGCCTGGCTGGACTGTTGCAGCTCAGAGTATAGCAGCCGCTCTCGGGTGCTCACGACCGAGGGAAAAGGGGGCTAGAGGGGGCTTAGGGGAACCGATTGCTGAAACGGCGGCGGTCGCCGGCGGCCGGAAGTCGCGGGTCTCGGCAGCCGTTGCCGCCGCGGCACGGTGGGGTCGGTGGGCTAAGTACGTATCGGCTTTTCTAGTCTTTCAGATTACCCTAAAGGAGCCGTCACCCGCATCCCCAACCCCCTTACACCCTTCCCCGGGAGGCCGAAGGGTGAGGACCCCCCAGCTACGTAGGGGTCTTCCGGTAAGCCCCGGGCTCCCTCCCCCGTCTGCGCGGCAGCAGCGACCGTGGGGACCGCCTAAGGGGGCTTCGCGTGTTTTTCCGCAGTGCTCTCCGAGACCCTAAATTCTACTGCGTCACTACCTAAACAGGGCGATCGCCGACTGCGTCACGCTAGGCCACCGCCGAGACCCTCTAAGTAGAGTGAGGACGGGGCACAGAAAAGGGATTTGCCGGAGCCGTCCCCCGCAAACAGCCGAGAAAAACATCCAAGAGGCGACAATTAAAAAAAAAAAAAAACGACCCCCGAGCATTGTTAAAAAAAAAAAACAAAAACAACCAAAAAACCAAATTGCGTGTTTGCATTCGGCAGACCCTCGCCCCTTTGCCCCCCCCCCCCCCTGCCCCCCCTCGCCCCCTCGCGACCCTTCCGGTGGGCTCACGACCACCTGTCGCATTTTCGTTACGCTCCTCTATCCCTTTCCTTGTATCTTAAAGACTCCCTTTTCCCGACTTGGAACTGAATAAAAGCTGAATGATTGCCGGAGTCTGGGGTCTTCGGATAAGGGGTTCGCCGCATACTGGGGTAATCTGGGGTGATAAAGCCCTCCTGCAGTCCCTCCTCCCCTCGAGAAGAATCAGATGGGGAGGGAGGATTTCAGAGCCTGTATTCTAACAGACCAATGCCCACGTCTTGCGTCACGTGTCCCAGCAACGCAGGAGAGCTCGCGCTCTCTCTCTGGCCAGGGAAAAAGCGAGGAAGAGAGACTCAGAGTCAGTCCGGGAGAGAAGAGGAAGGAGGCGAACGTCCCTGAGAGGCCTGCGCGCACCAGCCCCCTTACCCAAAGTCGGGAGCTGTCGGCGCTGGCAGCCAGCTCCCGGAGCCGGCTCAGACTGAGACCGGCGTCCTCTGGCGGCAGAGAAAGAGTTTTTCTCACGATTTTCGAGACGAATCGGCACGCTCCGGCATGCCAAGAAGGCGGAGCTAAAGTTGGACAAAGTAAGAAGAGGGAGCAGGAAAGGCCCGCGCATGCCTGGCTGACCGGAGCCTGAAGGGATAAGCGGAACTAGGAAGGTGCCAGGTTCCACCAGCAAGAAATGAGTTGCTTCTGCCGTGGTCTTGGGTCCTAGGCCCTGAGCACCTATCCTTTCAAAGCTTGGAAACTGAGGCTGGAGAACTTTCCAGCTAAAACTTTAAAATTTTTTTAAAATAATTTTTTTCACCCTAGTTTGGCTGGGTGCTCCGTCTTACGGAGCCCCAAACTTATTTTGAAAAACCGCCACCGTGTTATGGGCGTGCGCAACCGCCTCCACGGCAATAATATGTCAGGACAACACGATATCCCCCCTGAGGTCGGGGAGCAGCCCGAGCAGGAACCTCTGGAGGCCGCAGGGGCAGCTGCCGCCGGTGCTGGGCCTGGCCCAGCCGAAGAAATGGAGACCGAACCGTCCGACAATGAGCCCATCGCCGACGAGGCTGGCCTTGAGGTCCCTGGACCCCCTGAGGTCTCCAGATCTGACCTCCAGAGCCTCGGTCAGGCCTTCGAGGAAGTCCGAGTGGGTGGAGACTACAGCCCACCTCCGGAGGAAGCCATGCCATTCGACACCCAACAGCCCAGCCTCGGAGATTTCTGGCCCACCCTGGGGCAGCCTAGAACATCTGGGACCCCATCGGGCCCCCAAGCCTTCAATCCAGCGCTTTTGGAGCCCGGGACCCCCGGTGGTCCCAACCCGAGCCTGGGAGCCTACAGCCCCCCACCGGAAGAAGCTATGCCATTTGAGTTCAATGAGCCTGCCCGGGGAGACTGGGCCCCGCCTCCCCTGCGCGGCCCGGACCTTGCTCCAGGAGGTCCAGAGGAAGGGGCCGCCGGAGGTTTTGCCGCGGAGCCCGGGAACCTCAGATCTGAAAACGCTGGCCTCCGAGACGACTACAGCCCTCCACCTGAAGAATCCGTGCCGTACGGGTTGGACGGAGAAGGATCTGGGAGCGATAGCCCACCCCCGGGGCTCCCGCGACTCATCCCGCCAATCCGCCCTGGCGGCGAGTTCCCGACAGCCGCGGTCCCGAGTGCGCTCTGCCTCGCTCCCGCCGAGAACGCGCCTCCCCTCTGGGTCCAAGGCGCCATTGGCAGACCATTCGGCGAGGCTGTCAGAGCTGCGCCCAACTTCGCCTGCGACATCCCCCCGTTGGAGATCTCCAGACCCCTGCTGGAGATTGGCAGAGCCTCCATTGGGGTCGGCGACGACACCGCTGTCAATATGGACGGCCCCCCAATCGCAAGTGATGGCCCGCCCATCGAAGTCTCTGGAGCCCCAGATAAGAGCGAGCGCGCAGAGAGACCCCCAGTTGAGCGAGAAGCAGCCGAGATGGAAGGAAGCCTTGCCACCGCAGCTGCGGTGGAAGGAAAAGTCCCCTCTCCGGAGCCAGGGGACGGAGGCTCCGCGCAGCCAGGAGCCATGGATGCCGGGCCAGCCCCCGCTGCCCAAGCCGTCGCCACCGAGCCTGACGCCGGAGGAGCTCCTCCAGCCCCAGCGGCACCCGCGGATCTCCCGACCGAACCTGAAGAAGTCGGAGCAGCCCTGGCCATCCGAGCAGAGCCTGACGGAGGTGCAGCCCCGGCCGTCGCCCCAGCCGCCCCTGCCGAGCCCGAAGGCGCCGGAGAGCCAGCCGCCGCCGAGCCAGCCTCCGAGGCAGTCCCTGCCACCAAGGCCGAGCCTGCCTCCGGGGCAGCCCCCGTCACCCAGGTGGAGCCCGCGGCCGCGGCAGTCTCTGCCACCCCGGCGGAGCCTGCCGCCCGGGCAGCCCCCGGTGCCCCAGCGATGCCAGCCTCCGCTAGGGCAGCTGCCGCTAGGGCAGCCTATGCAGGTCCTCTGGTCTGGGGAGCCAGGTCACTCTCTGCTACTCCCGCCGCCCGGGCATCCCTTCCTGCCCGCGCAGCTGCCGCCGCCCGCGCAGCCTCTGCCGCCCGGGCAGTCGCTGCCGGCCGGTCAGCCTCTGCTGCCCCAAGCCGAGCCCATCTTAGACCCCCCAGCCCAGAGATCCAGGTTGCTGAGCCGCCTACTCCGCGGCCTGCTCCGCGCCCGGCTGCCTGGCCTGACAAGTACGAACGTGGCCGAAGCTGCTGCAGGTACGAGGAGGCGTCGTCCGTCATCTGCGAGATCGACTCCTCTAGCGATGAGTCGGAAGAAGGGGCCACCGGCTGCTTCCAGTGGCTTCTGCGGCGCAACCGCCGCCCCGGCCAGCCCCGGAGGAGCCACTCGGTCGGGTGCAACCCAGTCCGCAAGTTCTTCGCCAGAACCTTCGGAAGCTGCTTCGGTCTCTCCGAGACCCGCTCACGATCCCTCAGCCCCCGGAGGGCCCAGGAGCTCATGGAGGAGAGGCGCAAACAGATGCGCAAAGAAGCCATTGAGATGCGAGAGCAGAAGCGCGCAGACAAGAAACGCAGCAAGCTCATCGACAAGCAACTGGAGGAGGAGAAGATGGACTACATGTGTACACACCGCCTGCTGCTTCTAGGTAACGACGCAGCTTCTGCCCCTGGGCAGTAGGGCCTCCCGGGCGCCCGGGGAGGGGGTGGCAGGGCCTTCCGGTGGGGCTTGGGCCTTGCCCGTGGGCGGAGGGGGTCCTGATACCCTGTTAGAAGTTCCAGGGAGGGACCCCAACTATGCCCTGGGAGGGGGGGGGGGAAAGAGGGGAGTTTTCGAGGGTTCGGGTGGCCGAAGTATATGCCCTCCAGGGAGAAAAGTGGTGCCGAGCGACACTGAGGGTCGTTACCGGCCGGAGGCCAGCGCCAGCGCCAGCGATCGTAGTAGGCTGGACAGGCGGGGGCGTGAGGTGAGCCAGGAACGGCTGGGGTGGGCCCTTCGGGGCTCCCCCGGCTTAATTGTTCGTGACCGCGGTGGGCTAGGGCCATCGGGGTGCGCGCCCCCGCCTCGCCTGGCACGGCTGCTTCGACTCAGACAGCTTGTTGTTGGTGTGTGTTGGTGTCCATTTTCTGTGTTCGCCTGTGCATGACATGCTCAGTGTGTCCCAGTTTCCATCCCTGGCACCTTCAGTGTACCCGCCGATTGTGTATTCGTACTCTGAAATGGGCTGTCTTGTGATTTGCGCCATGGCGCGAGCAAAACTTTCCGTATTGGCACACTCTGTAAAAACCTGTGCGCGGACTCTCTGCAGCGAGCAGAGGGAAAACGCGCAAGAAAAAAAAAAAAAGGTGGCGGGGCATCCTGGGTAATCGGCTGGGCTGTTGGCTGGGGGGAGTGGGGCCGCAGCCGCGGGCCTCCATAACCTTTTTCCCTGTGTGTTTCTCTCTCTTTTTCCCTTTGCGTTAAGCATTTCCTCACTTCAAACCCTCACGTCAAACCCTCCTGCCTTAACGGCTGAAAAACCAGACACTCAGGTATCTGGGGCTTTGGGGTTGTTCGCAACGTCTGTATTTTGTATTCTGCACACACACACATACTGGGCCCACCTTGGGGGGGGAGGAGAGAGGGAGGCAGGAGGGGGGGTATAGTTAGCCCCGTTGGCAAGGCCACATTCAAAACACTGGGTTGGTTTCCTAGGGGGTGGGCGTGGCAGGGTTCAAATAAATAAAAAATATATATACATATAAAAATAATTTTCTTCTTAGCGAAGAGCCCTAGGTAAGCCAATCACTTACATTGTTACAGCCTGTGGTAGGAGGGGCCTAGCTTAAGAAGGTTGGGAATTGTGTTGGGAGAGCAACTTCCCCTTTGTATTTTAATTATATAATTAAAATAAAAAAAATAAATACTCTGACTGCATACTGAATGCGTGGACAATGCATGGGGAGCTGGAAATATTACTTGTGAACTATGTAAATCTTTGCATATGAGTTTTTTTCAAGCAGCTTTAGCTGGGGGAAGGAAGATCGAAGGTAAGATCTTCAGTAAATCAGTTTGGGATGAAAAAAAATAAAGGTTTTAGGATGAGAGAAATGTTATGGCAGCCAGATGGGCACCTCTGGAGGTCCCCATCTTCCCCCCTCCTCTGTTCAACCCACTCCCCAGCTCTCCATGTCTTCTCCCTCCCCTAAGGCCCCTCCCCTCATTCCACAGCCAGAGCCCCTCACCCCTCATACTTTTCTCCAACCTGAGGCATTCATTCATTCTTGCCAGATTAATCAAAGCAGCAATTAACAATGGTCTGGATCTATGGCTTAAATAAAATCTTCACGAGTCAATTCTCCACAATTAATTTATTTTATTCTCTAAGACCTGTCAAGGGATCTCAGGATCACAGTTTCTGGGGCTGTGCTACGTCTGTCTGTTGGACATTTGATAACCTGTGATCGTGTTTATTAAAGACATCGATGACATGCCTGTGCTGTTGTGATGTACCTCCCACATACCATATTTTAGAAGGGTGGTCATTTTATTCATGCCTACCGGGGGAAATGCTGCTATCACTGAATCAAACACATAGAAAAGGGAAGTAGCTGTAAATTTCAAACGTCCCTACTACATGAACAGTGTAGTACCTTACGTGACAAGGCTCCGGTTTCACTGCAGGCCCATTTCCATACTCTGGGAAGCTGACCTGTGAGTTGGGGCTGGAAGGGTACGGCCACAAATGTCTGCAGATAGAAGGCCCAAGTGACTGTGCACATCTGAATGCAGGCTGGCAGAGCAGACGTATCCCTTCCATTCTGTGTCCTCGGTTGTCTCATTTGAGAATCGAAGCTTTCATTAAAGCAGTCTCAGGCACCACTGCTTGGGTCTTCTTTCTAGCCCCCGCCCCCAATGCAGGGAGAAGGAGCTGGAGTCTTACGCTGTCCATTAATGCAGCTCTCTGCCACAAACTCCATGTTTGGGGCCAGCTTCTTTTAGAATAGTAGATGATTTCCTTATTTCCCTTAGATTATTTGTTTGTTTGTTTGTTTGTTTTTCTAGAGGGGGTAATTAACCAAAACAAAAGCACATTTGTTGGGGTACCCTGGTACTGGCCTGCCTGCCCTTTCTGGATGTCAGTCACGCTACTCTTTTGGATGCAGTATTACCCAGAATGCAGGCTGCTCAGCCTTGGCCTAGGCCTTGCCTGAGCTTGTAAGATGGCCATCCCTGCTTCGTGAGACTGCAGCAGAGCTGTCTGTCAAAGCAGGCTGCAGTTTCTCACCGGGCTGGTTTCCATTTTGCTGAAACAACAAGAGAAGGATTGTATCTGGGTCCTTATTATTGATTGGTGAGAGGGAGAAATAGTAGGAAAGGATTTACTTAAATTTATGAGACTTTTTACTAACTGTCTAACCCTATTATGGTAAACAAGATATCTTTGCCTTCTGATCCCCTGAAAATGCAGATCAAATGACCATCCTTTAACATCTGTCATACGCAGATTCATCTGGTTGCTTTAAAAAAAAAAAGGATTTTTCTGTGTGCATACTCTGTTTCTATTGCCCAAACATTATACGGCTGGGAATATTTTTAAAGATAGATGATAGATAGGAAAGTAGAAAGATAATAATTTAATAAAAATTCTATAATGTCTAGAGAGCTGAGGCTTTTTAGCATAATTAATCACAGACTGTTTCTATGTTTCTGTTACCTTAAAATAATTCTGTGGGTTAGCCTTTTCTTCTTCTTTTTTTTTTTTTTTTCCCCTTCTCAAAGCTTCATTTGGGTATTTTCCTTGGTTTAAAACCTCAAGGAGGCTACTGGATCAGAATTTTTTAGTATCTCCTGCCTTTTTTACAATTGTTTAGGTAAATTACTATGTGTAATATGACCACTATAATGACACCGTATTTCTATAGCACATCACAATTAATTATATAGTAATTTATTTGGCTGCCAAGTGGTACAGTACTGCACTGCATCTCATCGTGCGAAGCTTTTTTTTTTTTTTTTTAATTCAGCCCTTTTTTTTTTTTTTTCAAAATTCAAAATGTCTCCGCTGAACTGTTTGGTGCAGTGGGGAGGGCATAGCTTATTGCCTGCCCCCCCAACCCAGATTTTCACAGAGAGAGAGAGAGCTCTGCCTCCTGCCTCCCGATAACATCCATGTTTTTCAGAGGCCCTTTAAAGGTTTTTGATTTCTCTCAGAAACATTTTTCTTTTCTAAATGGGGAATGTTATTTTTAACTGGCTGACACGCTCTACCTTGAGAATGTGGTATGAAGCATAGGGAATGGTATCACGTCAGCCTATACATCCCTTCCTGACTTGAAGTTGGTGGCAAAACCTCAACGCTCTCAATGTTGTCAGTGGCTACTGATGATAATGGTGACATGTTCTAATTGAGTTTTGCATTTAAAAAAATATTTTGTCTATTCGCATCAATCCTTTGCAGCAGTTCTGGGCAATGAAAGAACTTCAACACCCCATTTCATAAGCATATCCACTCAAACCACAGAAATTAAATGCTAGGGACTTTTTTTTTTTCCTCAAGGTTTGCGAGGTAAGTATGTGAAGGACCCAGGCCTCCAAATCTGAGGTAGTAGCGCTCATCAAGCCCATGAGAAACATTCCATATTGCTTTCTCAAAGCTGATAGCATGATTGTTGTGAGTGTTCTCTGTGATCTTAAAATCCCTTGTGAAATGACAGGTGTCTACGAATCTCCTGCTTTCTGAATTCTAGCCAGCTCCTGACAGATCACTGACTGTGAATGTCTACCAAGCCAACATGAAATATAAGCTGCCCATTTGGGGAAAACCATTGCTGTGAAGCTTCATATCCACATTTGCTTCACTTCATCCTCCCCCACCACACACACACACACACACACACACACACACACACACAAGCTATAACAAGTTTTTTTTTTCCTTTTCTTTCTTTTTTTTTTTTAATAATGTAGGTTTCCCTTGGTACCTCTTCTGAAAAAAATAAAAATCTCCCAATAGTTTTCTTTAGCAGAGCTCAAGCTTGTAACATCAACACTAGTAACAACAACAACAGCAATCATTATTAGTTAATTAATAATAACCAATAATTGATATCAATGATAATTAATTATGCATAATTAATGATAATTAGTAATAACAATGCAATTGCTTTTGTGTACACATTCCTGAATGGGCAATGCTAGAGTATAGAGATTTCTGGCTAAAGGATTACAAAGCCCCAAGTAATTTTTCTCTTCCTGGTCTTTTTAATGAAATCCTTATTTTTAGTGCACAGCTGAGTCCCATTCTTTTTCACTCAACAAGTATTCACGCATAGTTGTGAAAAGCATTTATTGTTTTCTTTTGATGCAGGAAAGTTATATTTTAAAAAATTTAAAGAGAAGATAGCCTAACTGATTAAAATTGAAACTCTCAACTCTAAGCATACCCCTTTCTTTTTTAGAATCAATTATCCCTTCAAATAAAATGTGCTCATCCCCTTCCTAGCAAAAATGATAGCTTTTCAAATGCCTCTTTGTCTTCCAGGAGATGGCACAAATAGCAAACAGAAATTAGTTTTCTGAACTTTTATTTTATTTTTTTTTTTTATACCTGTGACACAGGTTAAATGCCCCTTTCTTCCTCCCAGGGATTTAATGAAATTAAAATTAGTATGTTTTCTTGCCTATTTTAAAATAAAACTTCACAGAAAGAGTAGTAGAAGTTTTCCAAACAGAAACAACAGGGCCAAAGAGAGGAGAGAGTAAGCCCAGGGCAGTCGCAGTCACCAGCTGGGCATCCCAGCAACACCTACCTTGAGTTCTTTAGTACCCTGGATGCAATGTGCCCTTTGTCCCCAGCACATTCCTGCGCTGACCTATGGACCCCTGACCCATGATCGAAGACGGATCTGGCTTTCCTTTTGGAATTTCAGAACAATCTTTGGAGCCTTTGGGCAGC